ATATTCAACAAATGCTTGATACAAGAATGCATTTCAGACCAGTAGTTACAAGCCAACATTTGGCTAATCTCAAAAAAACAACATTACAATTATAAGCTTAATTCCATATGACCAATAATACTAATCAATCATACTAGAAAAATCTTTACAAAAATTTTAACAATTAGACTAACAAACATCCTAGTTCAAAATCAAGTACTTTCCTTACATAATTTTGCAGCTTTTCCTTATCAATTCACACTAAACTAATCTCCCAACTTACTTAAATTTTGGAAGATGCAACTACAAATAAAAAAGAAGTCTGGATTTCCTCACAATTATGTCAAAAGCCTTTGATTCAATTCACATACCTACTCTATATAAAGCACTAAAAAAAATCCATATACTAAACAAAGCCATAAACCTAATATTATACTTGCTTTCACACTGAACCAACAGAATAATTACAAGCTTAGGTCTAACTGCACCATACTTAGTTAAGGATGGTATTGATCAAGAGGAAACCTTTTCACAACTTCTTTGGAAAATATATTATGATTCATTAATTTCAAAAATATACAAAGAACATTTAGAATTTTCTAACAAAATTTCTAGTATACAACTAAAGAAAATATTATAAATGTTTCAGTAAAGGCTTACATGAATGACTTACTGTAGATTGCACCTAACAAAACCTCTCTTATAAATATTCTAAACACCATCTCATTTTTCTACAAATTTGCCAACATAAAAGTCAACTTCTCAAAATCAATATTAGTTACAAACTTAACAGATCTAAACAACTTTATACTCTTTGATAAAGAACAACTAATAGTGATTAACAATGGCAAACCATTCAAATACTTGGGAGCATAGTTCTCAACTAACAAAAGACCAACTTTGATACAAAAAGAAATAATAGCAGAAGTAATAATTAACTAAAAAAATTACAATTTGCTAATATAACAGAAAAACAAGCAATTTATATCATAAATAGTGTTATTATTTCACAACTTCTTTATTAACTATATTTTTTATTTCTTACCTTAGCCCAAGCAAATACTCTTAACAAAATATGTACTCAATTAGTTAAACATAAGGCAAAACTAGCTAAAGGAATTTCTAACTCCTTTTTATATAATCCAGACATTTATGCATTAACAAATATAGCTCAAACACAACTTTTAGCACTAGTTATAACATTTTAAAAAAATCTAAATCATTCAGATTTTGATTTCTTCTTTTTGAAATTATGTCTACAACAACTACAAGATGCTGCATTTACTAATACTTCTATTCTAGTACAACCTTTAATTTTTCTAATAATTCAAATGAATATACAAACCAGTCAAATAGTACTTGCACTACATACGTTAGGCATGCAAACTTTAAGAGATATTAATAATTAGTCTTATCCAAAAAAATTCACAAACACCTCTATAAATCAAATACTAATGCAACATCCAAAAACCTCTTACCTTAAAGAAAAATTAAATAAACACAAGATTTATTACATTGAACAATTTCTAAATACTACTAACACAGAGTTATCAACATAGAACCACTTTCATTATAATATCAAAAAAATACCAAGAGGCCAGTGTCTACATTAGTTTTATATAATACAAGACTTAATAACTATATCTACAAATCCATTCTCAACATACTACAATGCAATCCACATATTTTGGCAAATTGGACTTCTACCAAAAAAGGCTGGATAATTACAAACAATCTAACTTTCAGAAGAATCTAGAATCTATTTAATATTATCAGATAATATATTAGTAGCCTGTAAAGGATGCAAATTGAACAATACATTTGATTATAGCAAATACTGCTACTTTAATGCAACAAAACCTATTTATAACCTCCAAGTAGATTGCAAAAAAAGAATTTATATCAATTTAGAAGACTTTAAAAAAGCCTTAACACTAACTTTACTGACAAGGCCAAAAACTCATAACCAAACAGTGCATTCAATCTTAGCTCGTTCCCTATGCTCTTTTATAAACCTACTAATAATACTCTAAAATGACCTTGTTAAGGCCAACTTTAATACAAAAACTACAACTATTTATATAACAAGTAGATAGCAAAACATTGAAAATATTTCTCGAATAATAGCAAAATGCTACTTTCAACACTCTTATTTAAGTTTTGGATGTTTTAACAACTCCTGGCCATCCCATTTAAACATATTAATAACTATATTAAATTTTATACTTATATCACTAAGTCCTGACACTTCGATAAATATATATACTAATAACTCTTCTTTAGTTAATCTTGTCAACTTTACAAATTTAATTCAATCATATAATTATCTAACACTAGACAAACAACAATATACTTTTCTCTTTTTAATTCTAAAAGCCTTGGCATATGATCATGTACTTACAATGATCCTTAACAAAGACCTTCAAATCCAAGAAACCCTAAACACAATTTTTCTATTAAACTCTGTACTACAAAAGTTTCTATATAATTAATTTGTTTCAAAGCTCTAGAAAATCCTTGTACTTATTTAGTAAAAACTATACTGAAACAAGTACATTAAATCACAAACTGTTTGACATAGTTCAACCAACAATGAATTTCATTATGGTATACTCTTCATAATAATATAAATTAGTTATTAATCCTACAATATATATCATATGGAGAAAAACCTTTAGCTTTAGTAACTAATCCAACCTTATTAGCAATTAAAAACTTTAAAATCAAACTAATATCTGAAGAACTACCTACTTATCTTTTTCGTTACTAGAGAAATGCTACAAAACATCTTAACCATTTCTGTGCAAGAAGTTACAGTATATCAGAAACTATTATACATCTTTTAACATGCATTAGAAACAATCCAGATCTTGAAATACTAATAAAATATATATTGATTGAAATTGTGAATAAGCTAGAATTATGCTGTAACAATACAAGAAGATTTATTCAAGCCTTCACTTATAATTATATCAACAAACAAATACTACTAGAAATAATAACAAAAGATACTTTAGCATCATTTGAAAACAACAAGCACAAACATAAACATACATCTTTTATTCACCATAATATTATTTCAGCAATATACAAAAAAATCTGGTTTACATTAAAAGCAATACATCATGAACTTGCTATTTCAATTCCATCTTCAATACAACCACTAACTTTAACTAAAACTATAACAGTTTTATATTCTACTTTAAATCAAAAGATACAACTCTATGTTACATATAGACAATCTTCTCTTCATCAGCTTATTAAAGACTAACCATTCTAGCAAAGAATAGGTTGAGAGTAAAGTAGCTCTTACCTCCATCTTCTCTAGTATAGTTTTTTCAACATGTATCTTATATATATGTATAATTAACTAAGAGATAGAAGATAAACCTTTCTTTAAAAAAAAAATAAAAAATAAAAAAAAATAAATAAAATAAAAAAAGAAAATTATGATTCTAGTATAGTAGTTAAGTTATTATTCTTTAAGCAATAGGTTTTAAGTTTAAATTTTATTAGTAGTAGAAGTTTGAAAAATAATTTTAATCTGATAAATTAAAAATAGAGATGTTATAGTCTGATGTGTGACTAGAGTGATTGGGGTTACAAATGTGTTTAGAGTTAGTTTTGGTCCAAAAGACTAGGTCTGATGACAGATTGTAAATCGGATCAAGGTTCATAAACTAGTTTACTAAACCAGTCTTAGCTAGGTTTGGTTTGGGATCAGCTTTGAACTGGTTCACCTTCAGCCAATAGAAATGCATAATTTAGATAATTTTATTGTCATACTTTTTATAATAATAAGATATAAAATTTATATTGATACACATGATTTATATTATAAAGAAACTAATCTTTTATTTATACTGTTTTTAAAACTGCCTAAGATCACTTCTATTAATACTCTAAGTATCAGATCAAACTAATCTTTTGATCTTTCAATTTAATCTAACTAATCAAGCATTTTATTCAATTTTCACCTATCCTATTACTGATCCAGCTTTTAACACAGAGACATGCTCTTGCTGTTTTGGAATAAAGACGATTGCGAGTTTTTGAGATGATATTACCAGCTAGAAAGAAAGCCTATTCACAAGCAATGCTAGTTGCTTGAACACTTAAGTAGTCAGATGCAAGTTTTGAAAGAATAGAGTAAGTTCTTTTATTGGCCTTTTATCAATCAAGGAATCTGTATCTTCTTTAGTAGGTTCTGACATAAAATAATGATCTAATTCACTAAAGTTTGTGATCAAAGTTTCTTCAAGAACATTGTCAGTTATGTAATTAGTTTCTTCTATCTCTGATTTGTTTTGCAACTTTCAAAAAAATTTCTGAGCAGTTTTAATTGGGCTTTCTTTAGCATTATTACGAATAGATGAAGTTTGTTAATATTTATATTGATTTATGATTTTTTGAACTATATTCTTAACATTAATAACTTTAGTTCTGTTGAATATTTTTAATTTAGCATAAGGATTAAGAACAGCAGAAACAATGGAGGATTTATCTATTATGTTCTAATATTCCTCTAATTTTTGGTAAATTGATGCAGCAACCATAGTCTAGAAAAATTCTTTTTGACCAATATATGAATCTAAAAAATCTTGAATACTCAAAAACACTAAATATATATTACCTATTGTTGAATATGATATTGCAGAAAGCAACTTTGTGGCAGCTTCGATTGGTTTTAACAAAGTAAGTACATTCTAAAATTAATATTAATTAATTGTTTATTTGTACAAATTGTTCTTGTTAATAAATCTTTTATTGTTGTATTTTTTTAATTTTATAACAAACAAGTATCACAAGAGGAAAGCCTGTAATTCTTCATTTAATAAGAATTACAGGTTTTCTTTTGCAACATTCAAGTATTTATGATATAAAGATTTTTTACTTTTAATTTTTGCTGTTCTTTAATACTTAGATATAGTAAGCAGATAAGTAGATAATCTACAGCAAGCAAATTAAGAGCCATTTCCATTTTTTGCATTTTTTATAACATGTAGAATATGCTATTTTACCTTGTTTCTATATCCAACTCAGGTTTAAAATATTGAATTTCTTTAAGCTGACATAATCCACATAAGTCATTACTAATATGGATAGATATTTAGATTTTTAATATCAAGTTTCAAACTTTTTCTACAGAAGAATCAACCATCTCTAGTCCTTGTTTTGCAGCCAAGTTGAGTATATAGGCCATGCAGTAGTAATATGAAAATCCAATATTATCAAGCTTATATTGCAATTCTTGTGCAATTAATCTTTCACAAATAATCATAGCAGACTTATTATTTATAGTAAGTGCTAAAGTTTTATCTTTAAGATTAAAATCATTAAGAAAATTATTGATGACATTTGTCATATTTACATCTGTATGTCTATTATTAAACAGAATGATATCTAAAAGAAAATAGTACATTTTCCAATCAGCATTAATAAAGTGAATCATAATACTGAGAAATACTTTAAAATTTCAAGATATTTACATATCAGTAATTAAGGAAACCTTTTCAGAAATTCTTATGATATCATTAACTAATTTACTTCACCTACTATCAAATTTATCTAAGATTATTTTTTAGCAGCTTGTCTTGTTAGTGTTAGGTATCAGAGTTAAAAAAATTAATGAATTTATTAAAATATCTATTTTCAACAACAGTAAATAGTTGTTGATTCACAATAATCCAGGTAATTAATTTTTATCTCTTTTTTTTGTTCATCATTATTATGTAGATCAGTTCTAAAAAAGTTAAGCATAGTCTGACATCTTGCTGATGCATTAATATTGTGCCTATCTAAGTGTCTTTGTAAAGATAAAACTCCAGTTTTTTGTAAAAAAACTTGATTGCACTGTATACATACAGGTTTTTTAAGGTAGTCAGTTGTATTGATGTTAAAATAAGGCTAATTGTTGAACTTTTTTTTAATCTTCTGTTTAGTGTATAATTTTGAGATAGTGAACTAATATTTGTTTCTTGATAAACTTGACTATTTAGATCTGAAAGACTGTCTTTACCAAATGGACTATCAAGATCATCATTTTTAGAATTAAGAGGGTTATGGTTTTCAAAAAAATCAATGTTTTTCATTTTTTTTTTTCTCAAAAAAATAAAGTGAAGATTTATATTTTACATCAAGATATATATTTTATTTATTTATTTATTAGAGCCTTTAAAACTACTAAGCTAAATAAATTTTTAAAAATTTTTTTTGTTTTAGATATTAATCATGACTAATACATGCATTATTTCTTTTTTTCAATATTTAAAGGTTTTTTTTTCACAAAGAAGATTCAAGACATATCTCAAATTGGTTATTTGATATGTGAAAATGTAAGAACAACATTTTAAAAAAATTAGTGTTATGACTTGCAACAGTCTTTTTTTTTTGTTATTTGTTGAAATGGCTTTTTTTAAGTTTTTGTAACAATTGAAAACATTCATAAAAAACATAATAAGCAAATATAGTATTAGGCCAGGTGCTTGAATAGAGAATTTGAATTATGAATTGCGATGTACATATTTACATTTAATATGAAAGCATGGTGATTTATAAAGATATATAGATAACAATGAAATTTTTTTTTATTTTAAAGAAATCTAATAAATTTAATTTATATGTATTATTCAAAAAAATTTAAATTTTAAATGAATGGCATTTTGAGTTTTTTTTTGAGAAGCTAAAACAGAATTTTGTAATTCTTTCATATGAAAATCAAAGTAAAAAGAGTTTATATAGTAATCAAAATAGTTACATAAAATACTGATAAAATTTTTAATCTTGAAAGTGTCTTGTTTAAAATTGTTAGAAATCTGTCAATTTGAATTAAAGATTTCAAACTTTTTTTTTAATTGCTCAATTTAGCATTATAGTCATATATAAAAACTAATTTAGATAAATCAGCTTAGATAAATATTGTGCAATTCAAATTATTGTTCTTAAATATTATTTTAATTAATATAAATTTGTATCATGCCAATTTAAATATCACATGAGGTAATCTTTATATGCAAGTGTAATGCAAAATAGTTTGCATCTTATTTTAAGGTGTTATGTGATTTGTTAAGATAGTTTACCAACACAGCATCTATATAAATCTTTTATACCTATTTTTAATTTTAATATGTATCATGATTTAGCACATATCAAGATCACCAAGTATAAATCAGTTATATACTGGTTCTATAAAATTTTATTTTCACTTATACTTAATGTATAACTATTACTAATTACTGATGTTCTTATTATTAGTTATAGAACTGACTTACTTAAACCAGTTTCAATCTATAGACTTGGAACTGCCTATATTAGTTAAGAAGACTAGGTCAGATTATGGTCTCTGCTAGACTGTAACATTCCTAATTAAAAAAGACATCTGAAGTTGTAATTTTGTAATTTTAATTGTATTAAAACTAATTTTAAAAGTGTGTAATATTATATAAATAAATCTAAAAAGTATAAATTATAATAAAAAGCCAAATACTAGCAACTTAAATAGAATATCTAAAGTAGTAATTCTGTAATTTTAATTATATTAAAACTAATTTTAAAAATATTTAATATTATACATATAAATAAGAGGTATGATAATTTAGTAAAATAGATAAGTTATCAATCTTCTAAATAATAAATTAAGAGTTTAAAACTTACTAACAGTAAAAATTTAAATTATTATCTATATAATACATAGATAGTATTATAGTAATAGCATTCTGTTAATTAGTTGGAATAGGATACTTATAACTATGATTACAACAGCATAACTAACAGGTTATAAGGCATTTGTGCAATATTGAAGTTATACAAAAGAATGCAAACTGGCATTAGGTAATGCAAATCTAAAATAAGTTCTTGTAACTATGTAAATTTATAGAACTAAAAAGCAAGAGCCTATTTAAGAAGACCTAAATAAAGAGATAGTATAGATCTTTGATGGACTACTATAAAAACTAGATTTAGAAAATAAATATTGATATAGAAAAAATCAGATAGACAAGAATCTCAGGTAAAAGATACTACTAACCAGATCACTAGAAGTCAAAAACTAGAAAAAAAGGATTTTAAAGACAGACTCTAAGATACCAAAAACAGATTACAGTCCTTCTGAGCTATCTAAATTAAAATCTGAAGACTAAGAGTGCTCTCAATCACCTAAATTAATAGATCAATACTTAATTTTTAATTAGTAAAACATAATTTGGATAATTAAATAAGCTCATTATCACAATAAAAAAAAAAGATGGTTGAGATCACTCGTACACAAAATCGACAGAAGCAAATTGAAAGTTTTCTCAAAACTGACTGTTACAACCAACTTCGCAGGCTTAAAGAAAAAGATAGAGCTTGTGCTAAAGGTATAGCAAGTGAAAGGGCAAGTAAATAGGTTACTTAGTAGT